GGTACCTGTAGCAGATATAATAACACCAAATCAGTTTGAAGCTGAGTGAGTGTTGTTAAAAAATTTCCAGAGACAATAATTTTTTCATTGTTCAGCAGATTACATTACCTTTATAATGAATAGCAACAACAAAGGATGATGATGATGATGATCAAGAAGAAGAAGAATAGGCTTGAGAGTTTTCTTGCCCTCTAAAAAAATCAAACTTTAAAAAATGTATAAACTCAGTTGTTGATTTAAAAATAGTAAATTAATGTTTCTTTAAAGAACACAAATTAGTTTTTCTATTCTTTTCTGGATAGTTTTTTAAAAAACATTTCATGTGGGAAGGAAATTTGAAAATAATTTAATGCAATAAAACTGTTAATCTTCTTATCTGCATTCAAGCTAAGATAAAAATAAAGATATGCATTTACTGTTCTTTAAAAATGCATTTTTTGAAAACTACAATTGTCAGTTGCACAGTATAAATAGTGCAATATGTACTTTTATCTTTAATGGAATTGTTAACTAAGAAGATTGGGAAGATCTACCTTTTCATACAGATGTGAAGTATTACAATGTCTACATCGATGGCTTTATTTTGGGTCCAACATGTTTCAAAACATTTCCTTAATCAAAAAGTAGCAAAATGACTTCAGAAGTAAATTAGACCTGCTTTTGAGAGACACTTCAGCAGAAATCAACAGAATAAAGTTAAATTTGTTCTGAATTCCTGAAATAATTAACTCAGTTAAGTGGTTCAATCTCCATTGCGAATTCTGCTCAAGTGCCTAGGATACTTGAAGCTAGGATAGCTGCAAAATTCTTTTGAGTGGATAGCGGTAAAAGGATTCTGAACACTGGTACAAAGGCTAAAGGAGAAGGAATTAGAATCATAATTTGTGGAATTGTGATAAGCTTGTGGAGTTATTGGAAGTTTCCTTAAAAAATACATCTTGAGCTTCCATTAAGCTATGTGATAACCATACTTTGGTTTCAATAATATATCTACTGTATTGAATAGAATGGGACAAGAGAGTGGTTAAATAGATTGGTGCATTTTTTTTTTTAAAAAAAAATCTCATTTAGCATTATAGAGATTTAATTTTTCACTAAAATATTCCATGAAAAACATTATTGAAATTATACTTCTAATGGGCAAAATAATGTTTTAAATTTGTATTTCCTTACTTTAGGTTACTTACTGGCAGGAAGATACACAGTGAAAAAGAAGCGATAGAGGTAAGTGTGTTGGAAGCCAGGTTTCTCCTTCAGTGCTTTTAACAGGATGATAGAGCTACATCTCTTTTCTACTAAAATTTTTCTCACTACCATTATGCAGAAAATTACAAATTTGTCAGCAATAAATGAATTGGAGAATATCAGATTTGATCTCCAGCTGCTATATAGTACTGCCCCTAGTGTTTATGCCAATTTTGTAGTCATGATAAAGAGATTCCACTTTACTGCAGAGTTGATTATACAGGTTATTTATTCTAGAACATTTCATTAATGAAATCTGTTAATACATCTCTATATTTTTTGTCTGGGGTATCTATTGATTTTACACCTTTAGCTGCTAATAAGACTCCTAGTTCCTGATACTATTTTATCCCCCAAATTCCTGACAACCCACATATAAGACTTCAATAATAATTGCATGAAAAGGTGACAAGTAGAATATGTTGTTCTCAAGCTAATGCTTGAGAATGCCTTGATGAAATTATACAGAAAGAACTTTACATTTCCTGGAATTACTGTTGCTAACCTCCTTTTGCTATTAAGGAAAGGTATTTAAGGAATTATGCTCTTTTGGGAAGTCGGTGTACTGTGGCTGGCTATTTCTTAGATTTGGTATCACCAGCCTTTCTCTAAGATACATGGGCTTCATCTTCCAGAATGCCTCAACCATCATAACCACTTTTTAGAATGTTGGAAGTGAAGTCTATATAGTTTGGTGGGCACCAAGGTTGCAAAAGGCTATGCTAAGTCAAAATCAGTTGTATTACACGTTGTAGAGTGCACAAATCGGTACTGTTTTCATGACACAATCCTGCCAATTATGTCTGTGGAAGTGCCATTGTTACCAGTGACCATTGGATGTCTGTCCTGTTATTATTGCTTCAACATCTATAGGTTGGATTAAAGATAGTGTATCCGATTCTTGCAGTAAAATATTTTGACATTAATTTTACTAATTATATTTTGTCAAAATGAAACTCTCATTCTAAGACAATATATTATCCATGGCTCTTTACAATTTTCTTTCAACAAAGCCAACAAAATGTCAGTTTGTAGATTAGACATTTTGTATTATATTTTATATAAAAATGCATGCAGTATAGACATTTATGTCCCAAGAAGCATAGTCACTGTCTCACAAACACACATATTACTACTAACATATTTTCCCCCATATATTTGAAAAGGTAATGGATATGCTCCACAATATGGGACCAGAAATGGTTGTAATCACCAGCTCAGACCTTCCAGCACCTTCAGGAAATGATTATCTGATTGCATTAGGAAGCCAAAGGAGAAGTATGTTTTATTTTTAATAAATAGTCTTCTATTGTTAGAGCATTTACAAAACAG